CACTCTAAATAGGCAGCAGCAGGCATCGTCAGGGTCGGGATTGGACCCACGACCTCCTGTGTACCAGGCGAGGTAGTCAACATCTCCTAGCCACCGTGATGATGATGATAATGATGAGAGAGACACGCACACTCTAAATAGGCAGCAGCAGGCCTCGTCAGGGTCGGGATCGGACCCACGACCTCTTGTGTACCAGGCGAGGTAGTCAACATCTCATAGCCACCGTGATGATGATGATGATAATGATGAGAGAGACACGCACACACTCTAAATAGGCAGCAGCAGGCATCGTCAGGGTCGGGATTGGACCCACGACCTCCTGTGTACCAGGCGAGGTAGTTAACATCTCATAGCCACCGTGATGATGATGATGATAATGATGAGAGAGACACGCACACTCCAAATAGGCAGCAGCAGGCATCGTCAGGGTCGGGATCGGACCCACGACCTGCTGCGCGTCCCCGCGAGGTAATTAACATATCAGAGGCACCGCGTCACCCCTTGAATAAACACAAAAGACTTCAAGTGTAGAGGTTCAAACTGCACAAACAAAAACATCAGTAAATAAAAAAAACAGGCTCGAACCGCACCGAGACAACACAAAGCCCCTCAAAACAAATTCCGCATTGGCAGTGGACTGTCGACGCTACTGCACGAGTCAGAATTAAAGTCACTAATCGCATTTGCCAATGTGACTGCTGTATCCAGCACCGTCTGCTTCAGACACTGAGTAGAGCCCGTGCGATGTGTGGTAAACGTCGCCACTGGGGAGACAAAGGCGGCCGGGCGTGGTTGCTTGCCACACAACCCCCCTCGTGTGCTGCACTCGCTAAGAGCACGTGACCTAACATTCTCTTAGAGGCTACACGTGGGGTCTTTGTCTGGGGTTCTTAATAGGAAACCATATATAATAGACGACGGTTCGGGCAATGGGCCTTCCTCATGGCACGCGTATCGCATTGCTTTTCGTCTCAAATGTGACACATTTGTAGCCAACCGTGTTCATTGGGGGTGGTGGGAGTGGTGGTGGTGGGGGCGGCGGTGGTGGTGGTGTGAGTGGTGGTGGTGGGAGTGGTGGTGGTGGGGGTGGTGATGGGGGTGGGGGTGGTGGGGGTGGGGGTGGGGTTGGGGGTGGTGGTGGTGGTGGCGGTGGTGGTGGTGGCGGTGGTGGTGGTGGTGGGAGTGGTGGGAGTGGTGGTGGTGGTGGTGGGGGTGGTGGTGGGGATGGGGGTGGTGGTGGTGGTGGGGGTGGTGGTGGTGGCGGTGGTGGTGGTGGTGGGGGTGGTGGGAGTGGTGGTGGTGGTGGTGGGGGTGGTGGTGGGGATGGGGGTGGTGGTGGTGGTGGTGGCGGTGGTGGTGGTGGCGGTGGTGGTGGTGGTGGTGGTGGCGGTGGGGGTGGTGATGGTGGTGGCGGTGGTGGTGGTGGTGGGGATGGGGGTGGTGGTGGTGGTGGTGGTGGCGGTGGTGGTGGTGGCGGTGGTGGTGGTGGGGGTGGTGATGGTGGTGGCGGTGGTGGTGGTGGTGGGGATGGGGGTGGTGGTGGTGGGGATGGGGGGTGGTGGTGGTGGTGGGGGTGGTGGAGGTGGTGGGAGTGGTGGTGGTGGGGGTGGTGGTGGGGGTGGTGGGGGTGGTGGTGGTGGCGGGGGGGGTGGAGGTGGTGGTGGTGGGAGTGGTGGTGGTGAGGGTGGTGGAGGTGGTGGTGGTGGGAGTGGTGGTGGTGGGGGTGGTAGCGGGGGTGGTTGTGGTGGTGGCGGGGGTGGTGGCGGTGGTGGCGCTTAGCGCACCGCGCTACAAACCCAGCGGCCCGGGTTTGATTCCCGTTCACAGCCAACACCACCAGTTACGCATATTTGAAACCGGTCCTGGGCCTCTCCCCTAGGTCGACTCAGCCTCAAATGAGTACCTGGTGTGGTGCGCAGTAAACATCGCCACTGGGGAGACAAAGGCGGCCGGGCGTGATGCTGGCCACCCCCTTCAAAGGCTGCCGCTCGCTCACAGCACTTGCCCCGACGGCTTCTTACAGGCTACACGGGGGCTCTTTGTCTTGGTGGCGATGGAACGCGCTGGGCTCTCTACAGATGTATAGTGTAGTGTATAGTGTAGTGTATAGTGTAGTGTATAGTGTAGTGTATAGTGTATAGTAGTGTAGTGTATAGTGTAGTGTATAGTAGTGTAGTGTATAGTGTAGTGTAGTGTATAGTGTAGTGTATAGTAGTGTAGTGTATAGTGTAGTGTATAGTGTAGTGTATAGTGTGGTGTATAGTGTATAGTGCAGTGTATAGTGTGGTGTATAGTGTAGTGTGTAGTATAGTGTGTAGTGTATAGTGTAGTGTATAGTGTAGTGTATAGTAGTGTAGTGTATAGTGTCGTGTATAGTAGTGTAGTGTATAGTGTAGTGTATAGTGTAGTGTAGTGTATAGTGTAGTGTATAGTATAGTGTGTAGTGTAGTGTATAGTGTAGTGTATAGTCTAGTGTATAGTGTAGTGTAATAGCTCAGCACCCAGCGGTCGTGTGTTGGAGAGTAAACTCCACTGCAACATTCACAATCCGAGTTACTGTCACGTTTCCGCTGGTGATTACAACAACGACAACAACAACGACAACAACAACAACGACAACAACGACAACAACGACAACAACAACGACAGCAGCAGCCAGCAGCCAGCTTCGTCAGGCGATAGCCGGAATTGTGAATCAACATTCCCGTGTCGATCTCACATTCACATTCACTCACGCAGCCCTCCCCTCCTGCCCCCCTTTGCAGGGCCAAGTGCTGTTAGTAGCGAGTAGCAGCAGCACCTGTGAAGGTAGACACAGACAAAGATCCCCCGTGTAGCCTCTAACAGGCTATAAACAGGCTGTAGGGGCAAGTGCTGTTAGTAGCGAGTAGCAGCAGCACCTGTGAAGGTAGACACAGACAAAGATCCCCCGTGTAGCCTCTAACAGACCTGCAGGGGCAAGTGCTGTTAGTAGCGAGTAGCAGCAGCACCTATGAAGGTAGACACAGACAAAGGTCCCCCGTGTAGCCTCTAACAGAGCTGCAGGGGCAAGTGCTGTTAGTAGCGAGTAGCAGCAGCACCTATGAAGGTAGACACAGACAAAGGCCCCCCGTGTAGCCTCTAACAGACTGTAGGGGCAAGTGCTGTTAGTAGCGAGTAGCAGCACCACCTATGAAGGTAGACACAGACAAAGATCCCCCGTGTAGCCTCTAACAGGCTGTAGGGGCAAGTGCTGTTAGTAGCGAGTAGCAGCAGCACCTATGAAGGTAGACACAGACAAAGGCCCCCCGTGTAGCCTCTAACAGACTGTAGGGGCAAGTGCTGTTAGTAGCGAGTATCAGCAGCACCTATGAAGGTACACACAGACAAAGGCCCCCCGTGTAGCCTCTAACAGGCTGTAGGGGCAAGTGCTGTTAGTAGCGAGTAGCAGCAGCTTACGAAGGCTGCCGGCAACTGTGGCACACACAGAGGGGGTGGGGACCGTGGGGGTGGCCACCAACCCCCACGCCCGGCCGTCTTTGTCTCTCCCGGTGGCGGCTCTTTGGCTGCCCACCTTTTGCGGGCAGCCGTTTAAAAAAAAACCTTAGCTCTTAAGCATCATTTAATGTCAAGATAATTGATTCAGATATAGAATGGTGGAGGGTGGGGGGTCACGGCAGGGCAGGGGGAAGAGATGGAGCCGACAGGCTACAAGGAGGTGCACCTCGAACTTGATTTGAGGTTTTCGTGACTGCAGGAATCAATGCTCTTTGGTTATTTCGGTAAAGTCACGTAGGGAGAAAAATAAAATAAATCACGACGTTTCGGGCGCAACACCAGCGTCCGTCATCAGGTGGGAAAGCGTGGCATGCATGCTGCTGCTGAGGCTGAGGCTGCCTCATTTATTTTATTTTCTACCCATCGTGACTTTACCGACAGGAGCAAAGAGTAAAGTCTGATACACCCTCGAGAGAGCTGTGTGGAAATCCACCCCGAAGCGACCGAGGCAGAGAGAGAGAGAGCCGATGGCCTTGCGAGGGAGCACGGCACGTGCCCTGGCACCGGCACGTGCCCTGGCACCGGCACGTGCCCTGGCACCGGCCCTGGCACCGGCACGTGCCCTGGCACCGGCACGTGCCCTGGCACCGGCAAATCGCGCAGCGCGACAAACGACTGCGCTGACACCCCCCACAGCAGCCCCGCCCCTCGTCCCACAGATACCCCGCCCCGCCCCCTTCCCCCCCCCCCCTCTCCCAGCCCCTCCCCCCACAAATACCCCTTCCCCCGCCCCCCTCCATCCCCCTTCCACCCACTCCCTCCCCTGGTGAAGTATGGCCAGAGACCCCTCCAGCCCCTCCCCCACAGATACCCCGCCCCGCCCCCTTCACCCCCTCCCTCTCCCAGCCCCTCCCCCCACAGATACTCCCTCCGCCCCCTTGCCCCGCCCCCCTTCACCCCCTCCCCTTCACCCCCCGCCCCCCTCAACCCCTCCCCCCTCAACCCCTCCCTCCCTGCACACCGACACCCCGATATCAATCACCAACAACCAATCAAAACGCAGCACCCACGACTCCCCCCCCTCCCACCACCACCCCCCTCCCTCTCACACCTGCGCCGGGCAGATAAAAACCACGCCAGCCAATCAAATCACAGCATCGGCGCGCCCCCCCCCCCGCCCGCCCGCCCCACCCACCTTAAATTGCAATCAACCAATCAGATCTCGCCGACGGGAGCTATAAAAATCAGGTAGCCAGCGGAGGGAGGGGTGGGTGCCCATTCGCCGTTCAGCCTCCCCCCCTACCTGTAGCCCCCTCCCTACCTGTAGCCCCCCCCCTACCTGTAGCCCCCCCCCCTACCTGTAGCCCCCCCCCTACCTGTAGTCCCCCCTACCTGTAGCCCCCTCCCTACCTGTAGCCCCCCCCTACCTGTAGCCCCCCCTACCTGTAGCCCCCCCTACCTGTAGCCCCCCCCTACCTGTAGCCCCCTCCCTACCTGTAGCCCCCTCCCTACCTGTAGCCCCCCCCCCCTACCTGTAGCCCCCCCCCCCCTACCGTGTCGAGGCCAGGTCCTGCAGCGTTGGACGTGGAGCGAAGTGAGTCGACTCGTCACGGGCTCACGGTAAGTCACGTGACCCCGTGGAGTCGCATGCAACGCTGAGATTGAATGTAGAGCTTGGTGGTGGTGGTTGTTGTGTGGTGGGTGGGTTGTGGTTGTGTGGTGGGTGGTGGGTGGGTTGTTGTGTGGTGGGTGGGTTGTTGTTGTTGTGGTGGGTTGTTGTTGTGTGGTGGGTGGGTTGTTGTTGTTGTGGTGGATTGTTGTTGTGTGGTGGGTGGGTTGTTGTTGTGTTTAGTGTCGTCGTTCTTACAACCCGCGGATAGCGATTTGCACGGTCTGGCTACTTGGGGTGCGAAAGAATGTCAACATGCACACTACACTATACACTACACTATACACTACATTACGCTACACTATACACTACATTACACTATACACTACATTGCGCACGCTACACTATACACTACATTACGCTACACTATACACTACATTACGATACGCTATACACTACATTACGATACACTATACACTACATTACGACACACTATACACTACATTACGACACACTATACACTACATTACGACACACTATACACTACATTTCGCACGCTACACTATACACTACATTTCGCACGCTACACTATACACTACATCACGCTACACTATACACCACGTTACGCTACACTATACACTACGTTACACTACATTACGCTACACTATACACTACATTACGCTACACTATACACTACATTGCGCTACACTATACACTACATTGCGCTACACTATACATTGCGCTACACTATACGCTACATTACGCTACACTATACATTACGCTACACTATACACTACATTACGCTACACTATACACTACATTACGCTACACTATACACTACATTACGCTACACTATACACTACATTACGCTACACTATACACTACATTACGCTACACTATACACTACACTATAGACTACACTATACACTACATTACGCTACACTATACACTACATTACGCTACACTATACACTACATTACGCTACACTATACACTACATTACGCTACACTATACACTACACTATACACTACACTATACACTACATTGCGCACGCTACACTATACACTACATTACGCACGCTACACTAAACCACCACCATTATCACCACCACCGCGTGGAAGTTTTTCATGTCCAGTCGAAGTGCTCCAACCCCCGTCGGCTTTGCCGTGTGACGTCACCACTGGGGGGTGGGGGAGACAAAGGCGGCCGGGCGTGGTGCTGGCCACCCACCCCCTCGTGTGCCACAGCGCCGGCAGCCTTCACAGCTGCTGCTGCTACTTGCTAACGGCACTTGCCCCAGCAGTCTGTTACAGGCTACACGGGGGACCTTTGTCTTTGAACTGAACGTTTCCCGTAGGGACAGCTGCGTCCCGAGGGCGTGCAGATTAACTCCTGAACGAGGCCTAATGCCCGAACCGTCGCCCACGACGAAGACAATGGCCGCACGCTGCTGCTGCTGCTGCTATTGTTGTTGTGCGTGCACCACTGCCAACGCAGCCCGAATATTCATGACCCGGAGGGAATCCGGTGAGCTAAGAAGCTCTTTTTAGCATTTTGACTGAAAGCTTTCGCGACTGTAGGAATTAATATTCTATAGGGAGGGGGGTGTTCGGTAAAGGCTCTCCCTGCCTGATGTTGCGATTCTAAACGTGAGTTTTTTATATTTTTTTACCGAAGAACACTCTAGATTTGAAGAAGAATACTCTAGATTTGAAGAAGAATACTCTAGATTTGAAGAAGAATACTCTATATTTTTAGTTCTTTCGGTAAAGTCACGTTGAAGGGAAACAGCAAAATAACAAAATATATATAAAACAATAAAACATTCTCACGACGTTTCGACCATAACACAAACGGTCGTCTTCAGGTGTGTCGGTTTGCATAAATTTATTTATTTTCAAACGGAGTATTTATTTATTTATTTAGTCCCCCCCCTCCTCTTTTCAGAACATAGATGGACTAGTCCGTCTAAATAAACTGCCAAATCGCTGCGCGTGGCGCTGACGTTTAAAAAAAATAAAAAATCAATAAATAGAAACACCGTTTACAAATAAATTTATGCAAACCGACACACCTGAAGACGACCGTTTGTGTTATGGTCGAAACGTCGTGAGTGTTTTTATTGTTTTATATATTTTATTATTTTGTTGTTTCCCTTCAACGTGACTTTACCGAAATAACTAAGAATATGAATTACTGCAGTCACGAAAGCTTTAAATCAGAATACTCTATTTGAAGAAGAATACTCTATATTTGAAGAATACTCTAGATTTGAAGAATAATACTCTCTATACTCTTTGGTTCTATTCGGTGAAGTCACGTAAAAAAAATCACGACGTTCCTGCCACAACACAAGATGAATGCCGCTTGTGTTGTGGCCGAAACGTCGTGATTTTTTATTGTTTTACCTACGTGACTTTACCGAATAGAACCAAAGAGTATGGATCCTTGCAGTCACGAAAGCTTCAAATCTAGACTAGTGTCTACGTGAAGAAGACTGTTTATGTCGCAGTTAGCCCGGTTAGAGTTCAAGCGGCTGCAGCAGCAGCGGCGGGCCCCGCACCCCAACCGTTGACGTTGCACGTCTGAGCATGGAACCTGGCGGTGGGGATGAAGAAGAAGACGAAGCCGCAGCAGTAGTAGTAGTAGCAGCAGTAGCAGCAGTAGTAGTAGCAGTAGTACTAGCAGCAGTAGCAGCAGTAGTAGCAGCAGTAGCAGCAGCAGTAGTAGCAGCAGTAGTAGTAGCAGCAGTAGTAGCAGTAGTAGCAGCAGCAGCAGTAGTAGTAGTAGCAGTAGTAGCAGCAGTAGTAGTAGCAGCAGTAGTAGCAGCAGCAGTAGTAGTAGCAGCAGTAGTAGCAGCATCAGCAGTAGTAGTAGCATCAGCAGTAGTAGTAGCAGTGGTAGCAGTAGTAGCAGCATTAGCAGTAGTAGCAGCATCAGCAGTAGTAGCAGCAGTAGTATCAGCAGTAGTAGTAGCAGCAGCAGTAGTATCAGCAGTAGTAGTAGCAGCAGCAGTAGCATCAGCAGTAGTAGTAGCAGCAGTAGTATCAGCAGTAGTAGTAGCAGCATCAGCAGTAGTAGTAGCAGCAGTAGTATCAGCAGTAGTAGCAGCATCAGCAGTAGTAGCAGCAGCAGTAGCATCAGCAGTAGTAGTAGCAGCATCAGCAGTAGGAATAGCGGCATCAGTAGTAGTTGCATCAGCAGTAGTAGTAGGAATGGCAGCAGTATTCCTACTACTACTGAAGAATACTCTATATTTGAAGAATACACTATTTGAAGAATACTAATGCAATGATGATAACTTAAAAGACATGAATTGCTTCCAACATGTAATTAATAAAATGTTTTAATTGAAATAGAACAATCAAACGTAGAACAATTGTTAAGTTGAATAAATACAGTCATAATAAATAAATGAAACAATTCCAATAAAGTCCTAGGACTTTTGAAATCGCCAAAAATCGCAGCCTTTGCCATTTGCTAAGGGCATTGTTTGAAATTGCGATTTAGAGTCGAAATCGATTAATCGTTAAGCACTCGTCTGAAATCACGTACGCGCCTGTGTGTGTACGTGCGTGTGTCTGTGTGCCTCAAATGAGTACCTGGTGCGATGTGTAAACATTGCCACTAGGGAGACAAAGGCGGTCGGGCGTGGTGCTGGCCTCCCACCCCCTCGTGTACCGTTCCGGCCTTCATAGGTGCTCGCTAACAGCACTTGCCCCTACAGTCTGTTAAGGCTATATGGGGGATCTTTGTCTTTGTGTGTGTGTGGGGAGCGGTAGTGCAGGGGTTAGCGCTACGCTGCGCTACAAACCCGGCGACCCGAGTTCGATTCCCGCTCACGGCCAACATCGGTGACGATTATCTGAACCGGTCCTGGTGCCTCCCCTAGGTCGACTCGGCCTCAAATGAGTAACCTGGCGTAGCGGTGTGTAGTTAAACGTCGGCACACGGGGAGACAAAGGCGGCCGGGCGTGGTGCTGGCCACCCACCCGCTCGTGTCCCACAGTGCCGGTAGCCTTCACAGCTGCTGTGCTAACAGCACTTGCCCCAACAGTTTATTGCAGGCTATACGGGGGATCTTTGACTTTTGTTTGTGGGGGCGCGGTGGTGTAGTCGCGGTTTTTAAATTATCTTCTGCTACTCTTTGGTTCTATTCGGTAAAGTCACGTAGGTAAAAAAAAAAATCACGACGTTTCGGCCACAACACAAGCGGCCTTCATCAGGTGAAGGGATCAGGCTGTCTCGAGGACAGCGCTGGAGTGAAACAGAGCCACGCTCAGACCGCGGACCTTTAAGTTGTGTGCGAGGAAACAAGGTGCCTTGACAAAGGAATTAGCATAAAAAAATTAGCATTTGATTGGCCGATTTTAGAAAAGAGGTGGTGTACGTGCGGGTGTACTTGTCGAGACAGCCTGATCCCTTCACCTGATGAAGGCCGCTTGTGTTGTGGCCGAAACGTCGTGATTTTGTTGTTTTATTTTTTACCTATGTGACTTTACCGAATAGAACCAAAGAGTATGGATCCTTGCAGTCACGAAAGCTTTAAATCTGGAATTGTTTTCTGCTGTTGTAACGTTCTGAGACACGCGCCCCCTACTGGACATCTGCGGGATGGGGGTGGGAGAAGAGCTTTATAGCTCAACGGATTTCTAACTGCAGTCTAAATATTCACATTTGGATCGTTTGACCCAGGCACCGGTCACATCTTAATATTTTTCTCTTTTAGAATCCGTTAATGTAATTTTCTAAAACTTTGCAGTAGTTTAAATATTTATTTGTAATTTGAAAAAATGAAAAACGTATTTTATTGGTGTATAGATTTTTTTTCTTAAGTTGAACAAAAACTCGATGCGTGGCGTGTCAATAGCGATAACTCCGTGCGTGTGTGTGTGGCTTCCAAAATTATATTCAATAAGTGAAGTTTTTCGGGCAGTGACACTGCTTCAGGGTGTCCTAACTTATGGGCCACCCTGTATAATAATAATAATCATAGCCCTGTGTCCTGACTTATGGGCCACCCTGGATAATAATAATAATCATAGCCCTATGTCCTAACTTATGGGCCACCCTGTATAATAATAATAATAATCATAGCCCTGTGTCCTGGTTTATGGGCCACCCTGTATAATAATAATAATAATCATAGCCCTATGTTCTAACTTATGGGCCACCCTGTATAATAATAATAATCATAGCCCTATGTTCTAACTTATGGGCCACCCTGTATAATCATAATAATAATCATAGCCCTATGTCCTGACTTATGGGCCACCCTGTATAATCATAATAATAATCATAGTCCTATGTCCTGGCTTTTGGGCAACCTTGTATAATAATAATAATCATAGCCATGTGTCCTGGTTTATGGGCCACCCTGGATAATAATCATAGCCCTATGTCCTGACTTATGGTCCACCCTGTATAATAATAATAATAATAATCATAGACCTATGTTCTGACTTTTGGGCCACCCTGTGTTTGTTTAAATACTGATTTAAATTGCCACCTCCTAATCGTCAGAGGACCCCCATCTGAACATTTAATTTATCGCCTTGTTTCTAATCTAACTTTGCAGATTATTTTTTGGCTTCTCCCCCTCGCCCCACCAAACGACCGCCATGGAGACCCAATCCCTCCAAACGTCCGCGCTGGACATCCCTCAATCCGGGCCCTCTCTGGACAACCGCTTCCGCGCCTACGGCCCCCACCAGGGCGTCTCCGTGCAGCGCTCCCCGCACGAGCAGACCGCCGGCGCTGGCGGTCAGACGATGGATGCTTTCAACAACTCGTCGCTGTCGTCCTCCTCCTCTTCCTCCTCGTCTTCCTCGTCGTCGCTGCCGGCACCGGGCACGCCTCTGGGACACAGGATGGGGACCAACTGGTTCGCGACTATCAACATCCCAGACTATTACCCTCCGCAGCCGCAGGAGTATCACCACCACCAGCAGCAGCAGCAGCAGCAGCAGCAAGAGGGTCCTCCTCGGCATCCGTCCACCTACGGGTCCACCGTGGCCACGTCGGCTGTCTCGCGGGCGACCGTTCACAATAATGGCGTGGCCACGGATGAAACGCTGGCTCATCAGCAGCATCAGCAGCATCTGCATCAGCAGCATCAGCAGCAGCAGCATCAGCAGCATCAGCAGCAACATCAGCAGCGTCGGCAAAGGCAGCTCGCGCCGAGGTCCATCGGCTACGCCGCGCCGTTCCCCTCCGGCCTGGGCGACGCCGGGTCTCCCGCCGACGACCTGGCCGTGGCCGGCACGTCGGCGAGCTTCTTGGCCTCCAGCGTGCCCTGCCAGCCGCCGCCGCCGCACCACCACCACCACCACGGCTGGCAGAACTTGCCGGTGCCCCCGCCGGCGGCCTCCCGCTACCAGGAGAGCGTCGTCGTCATCGTCGACGACGACGACGACGACGACGACGACGATAGCAGCGGCGACATCGTGGTGAGCGTATCCGACGACGAGTGCCACGGCGCGATGATGCAGCAGCAGCAGCAGCAGCAGCTGCTGATGCATCACCTGCTACAGCAGCAGCAGCAGCAGCAGCTGCCTCACCAACCGCACCACGGACAGCGGCCCGGTTACGAGTGGCACGGTGCTATGGGCGAGGCCGGTTCCGACGGCAAGTGGGGGCTGCCGGCTTCGAGCGGCGGTGTCGAGTCTGCTGCTTCGCCAGACCCGTGGCCTGCTCCGTCGATGATGATGCAGCAGCAGCAGCAGCAGCAGCATTATCAGCCACACCATCAATATCACGCCGGTCAACACGGACTCGACGCAGACCAAACGTCTCCTCTTCAACCCACCCAGCGGTATCATTATCCGCCGCAGCAGCAGCAGCAGCCACTGCAGCTGCAGCAGCAGCAGCAGGAGGAGCAGCAGGAGCAGCAGTTAAATTTTCAGCAGCACCAACAGCACCAGCAGCAGCTGTACCAGGAGCTGCGCCGGCAGCAGGAGCAGCACGAACTGCTCAAGCGCAGGCAGCAGCAGGAGCTGCAGCGGCAGCTGGAGGATGTGGTGGTGGTGGTGGTGTCCTCGCCCGAGAGTGACGGAGCGGGCTCCTCGTGCGAGCCCAGCACCACCACGAGCTGGCGTGGGCGCTGCGACTCGAGCGGTGGAGAGGTGAGGACCCGGGGGAGCCGTGTGTACAGGTGTGTGTGTACAGGTGTGTGTGTGTGTGTGTACAGGTGTGTGTGTACAGGTAGGTGTGTGTGTGTGTACAGGTGTGTGTGTGCGCGTACAGGTGTGTGCGCGCGCGTGTGTACAGGTGTGTGTGTGCGCGCGCGTGTGTACAGGTGTGTGTGTGTGCGCGTGTGCACAGGTGTGTGTGTGCGCGCGTGTGCACAGGTGTGTGTGTGTGCGCGTGTGCACAGGTGTGTGTGTGCGCGCGTGTGTACAGGTGTGTGTGTGTGCGCGTGTGCACAGGTGTGTGTGTGCGCGCGTGTGCACAGGTGTGCACAGGTGTGTGTGTGCGCGCGTGTGCACAGGTGTGCACAGGTGAGTGTGTGCGCGCGTGTGCACAGGTGTGTACAGGTGTGTGTGTGCGCGCGTGTGCACAGGTGTGTGTGTGCGCGCGTGTGCACAGGTGTGCACAGGTGTGTGTGTGCGCGCGTGTGCACAGGTGTGTGTGTGCGCGCGTGTGCACAGGTGTGTGTGTGCGCGCGTGTGCACAGGTGTGCACAGGTGTGTGTGTGCGCGCGTGTGCACAGGTGTGCACAGGTGTGTGTGTGCGCGCGTGTGCACAGGTGTGTGTGTGCGCGCGTGTGCACAGGTGTGTGTGTGCGCGCGTGTGCACAGGTGTGTGTGTGCGCGCGTGTGTACAGGTGTGTGTGTGTGCGCGCGTGTGTAGCGGTTAGCGCTACGCTGCGCTATGAACCTGGCGACCCGGGTTCGATTCCCGCTCACGGCCAACACCAGTGACGATTATCTGAACCGGTCCTGGACCTCCCCTAGGTCGACTCAGCCTCAAATGAGTACCTGGTGCGGTGGATAAAAACATCGCCACTGGGGAGACAAAGGCGGTCGGGCGTGGTGCTGGCCACCCACCCCCTCGTGTACCGTCCTGGCCTTCATAGGTGCTCGCTAACAGCACTTGCCCCTACAGTCTGTTAAGGCTATACGGGGGATCTTTGTCTTTGTATGTGTGTAGTGGTGTGTATGGTCATCTCGGTCATCTCAGTCAGTCGACCCGTGGCACCTGGGTCTGCCCCGTGACCTCCTGCCAGCGGGCGTTCGACACTTCACGTGGCCTCAGGGTGCACATAGCCTGGCACAAGCGTCGTGGTGACGTCGCCGCCACTTAGTGGCGAATGGCGGTTGTTGTTGTTGTGTGGTAGTGTTGTGGGCAGCGGAGTAGTAGCGGTTAGCGCGCTGCGCTACGAACCCGACGACCTGGGTTCAATTCCCGCTCACGGCCAACACCGCCAGTGACGATTATCTGAACCGGTCCCGGGCCTCCCCTAGGTCGACTCTGCCTCAAATGAGTACCTGGTGCGGTGTGCAGTAAACTTCTCGCCACTAGGGGAGACAAAGGCGGCCACACCACCACCACCCTCATGGGGGCATCTGTGTGTGTGTGTGTGTGGCGATTAATCTGGGCATTGGTGGGGAGTGGTGTCACAGCGGTTAACGCACTGCGCTGGAAACCCTGCGGCGACCTGACTCCTGGGTCGGCCGACCCACCACGGGTCGGCCGAGTGAGACGACGTCTCGTTGGTGGTGGTGGTGGTGGTGATGGTGGTGGTGGTGGAGGTGGTGGTGGAGGTGGTGGTGGTGGAGGTTGATGGAGGTTGATGGAGGTTGATGGAGGTTGATGGAGGTTGATGGAGGTTGATGGAGGTTTTTCTCACCCCCCCCCCCCGCCCGTGGCAGGACAACTTGATGAGCATCGATGAACTGGCTCGATTCGCCAAGGAGCTCAAGGTGAAGCGCGTCAACCTGGGCTTCACGCAGGCCGAGATGGGCCTCTCCATCGGCTCGCTGTGCGGTGAGGGTCTCACGCGGTGGGGGTCTCACGCGGTGGGGGTCACGGTGGGGGTCGCGGTGGGGGTCACGGTGGGGGTCTCACGCGGTGAGGGTCACGGTGGGGGTCGCGGTGGGGGTCACGGTGGGGGTCGCGGTGGGGGTCACGGTGGGGGTCTCGTTCCGTGCCTCCCTCTCTCCGTGTGTCGCGTAGTCCACAAAACCTCAACTCCGTTCACGTTGCCACCCCCCCCCCCCCCAGGCCGAGTGTTTAGCCAGACGACGATCTGCCGCTTCGAGGCGTTGCAGCTGAGCCAGAGGAACCTGTGCAAGCTGCAGCCGCTCTTCAAGCTGTGGATGGACGACGTGGGGGTCAACGGCGGCAGCGGCGGCGTCAGCAGCATCGGCGGCGGCGTCGGCGGTGGCGGCGTCAGCAGCAGCGTCGGCGGCGTCGGTGTCGGCGGTGGTGGCGTCAGCAGCAGCAGCGTCGGCGTCGGCAGCAGCGTCGGCAGCAGCGGCGGCGTCGGTGGCGTCGGTGGCGTCGGTGTCAGCGGCGGCGTCGACGCCAAGGAGGTAACGTCGCCCGGGCTGTGACGTCACGCGCCCACAGGCACCCAGGGACCCAGGCACCCAGGCACCCAGGGACCTACCCTACGTACCCACGCACGCACACACACGGCCACTCGTCGTCGTCTCGGCCGCGGCAACCGGAGGCCCTGCGGTCGGTCGCCGGTCGCCGCCGGATCGCTCGACAACGACCCCGTCGCACCGCCCCCCAAAGAAGCGGAATCTCGACCGTGGATCCACCGTTCCCCGCGGCGCGGGGGTCCCGCTTTTATGCGGCAGGAGCACCGGCGCTCCCAGCTGTTGAGAACGCTGCGGCCGGACGGGCCCCGGGAGGAGGTGGCACACCGCTCGATCTGGAGCACACGGCGGCCGAATTTTGGGGTAACGGTGTTTGTCCCGTCCCCCCCCCCCAGGGCAAGACGCCCCGCGAGGTGGGGTACCGCATGCGTAAGAAGCGCACCTACTTTGCCAGCTACACGCGCATGCAGTTGGAAGCCTACTACAACGTCTGCTCCAAGCCCAACATGTCGGCCATCGCGAGCATCGCCCAACAGCTCAAACTTGAGAACAGTGTAAGTCTATGGGACGACTCGTCACCGCTACGACCAACCCTAAGACTGGGGGGGGGGGGTGGGGGGCTGGGGGGGTGGCGAGGGTGGGGGGCGGCGAGGGTGCACGAGATGCGTTTATATAATTTCACTCTTTAATCGCTTCTCGTGGTTTCTGAAGACCCCCTGTGTGTGTGTGTCTAATATTATTCTTATTACATCTTTCTTATTTTCAAATGTTTGTTTTTACCTAGGATGGCGATGGACCCCTCCGTGTCGAGCTGCGTAGTTCTGCAGCTGCGGTCCCGGAGCCATTGTTAATGGAGGTATTACGGTACACCACCACCACCACCACGCTCTCGCCCACTGCCACTAACAACCACAACCACCGCTACTGCCATTGTACATGGAGCTCACCAGCCCATTTGGAAGTCCTCTGACACGATGTAACAATAACAAATCGTAGCCATTGTCGTCTTGCGTCACGGTGGCTCAGATGTTAACTACCTCGCCTGGTATACAAGTCGTGGGTTCGATCCCAACCCCTGATGCCTGCTGTACATTTGGAGTTTACATGTTCCCTCTATGGTAGCGTGGATTTTTCTCCGGGTCCTGCAGTTTTTGTTCCTTCCACATCCATGTGGCGATGATAAGCCACCAACTTCGTTGAGCCATCATTTGTGATGGCCAGGTTGCTTGTGAGGCCTTACAGCTCGGTGGGGCCTTACACCTGGTAATGTAAAAAGTTTTCAGTTTAAATTTCCCCGGCAAATGGCGCAGCGCGCGCCTTCCACCTCATGTCCATCGCCTTCCACCTCGGTGGGAGCTAATCCGCCGGTAGGGGGTGATTATTGCTGCCATGTGGTCTAGCCTAGGAGGGCCCCCCCACCTCCCGGTAGCTGCTAAGCGGGCATTAGTCGGGCCAGTAAATTTGTGCCGATTTAACTTTTTTTAATTGCTATATCGATTTTCTTTTGGGTCGTCACTCTCGCGCACACTGGTAACCAAGCCTCTCACATTCTCCTGTACCCCCCCCCACCCCCCCCACCACAATCGCCAAACACGCAAGGTGGTGCGTCTGTGGTTCTCCAACCGGCGTCAGAAATGCAGGAAGGCCTCCACGTCTCTCGCCGACAACAACGTGCCACAGTTTCACGCCAATGGGCAAAATGGGCCTGGAGCTGCCGCGCCCGTCGCCGTTGCCCGTGACAACATCGACACCGACGGCAGCACCGGCGGCGTTGAAACCGTGGGGGCGGCGGCGGCGATGGCCTACGACGGAGCCTTTGCGGCGTGCCACGCCGAGGGCGGCGTGTGCAAGATGGAGACGTCCGCCTCGTCTTGCCTGCGCAGCGCCGGCGCTCCTCGCGGTGCCGACGCCCACGGGTTCAGCGGCTACGGCGGTGGCGGCGACGACGGTGGGAGGGACGGGAACGGTGACGGCAGTGACCTCTTTCCGACCGCGGTTCACACTTGCCTGCGCTCCTTCGCCGGTTCCGGCCTCAATGACACTTAGGCTGACCATGGGCAGAGTCTAGCTGAAGTTTGTCTTGGTTACTCTTAGACCTGGCTGGAGGAACAGGTCCCATTTTTAGATGTATAGTGAGAGACTCCTTTGCTAGACTGGGGAGGCTTTAATGGTCTAGGAAAGACTAAGGCTTTTGTGGTTGCTCAAGTTGGGAGTGGAGCGGGATTTTTCTCAAGGCAAGCTTTTTGTGGGCAGGTCCATCTCCACAGCAGCCTGCCTACTCCTACACCAGAATTTCGAGGCGAGACGAAGCTCGGGCCTAGTTGAGTGCATGTCCTGTCTACATCTCGAGTCCGTTGGGCGTTAAGGAGCTAAACTCGCCGTGAGAGAGGCAGGTCAAGAGGCAGATGAGCCAGGTTGGCGAATCCGGCCTATCTGTCGGCAGCCTATCTCTTCTCGGCTGCTTTTCTTAGTCATGCCCTGGTCTCTAACATGGACCAACTCAGGCCCTGGTCTCTAACATGGACCAGCTCAGGCCCCGGTCTCTACCGTGGCCCAACTCATGCCCTGGTCTCTAACACGGACCAACTCAGGCCCCGGTCTCTAACACGGCCCATCTCAGGCCCTGGTCTCTAACACGGACCAACTCAGGCCCCGGTCTCTAACGCGGACCAACTCAGGCCCTAGTCTCTAACGCGGCCCAGCTCAGGCCCTGGTCTCTAACGCGGACCAACTCAGGCCCTGGTCTCTAACGCGGCCCAACTCAGGCCCCGGTCTCTAACGCGGACCAACTCCGGCCCTGGTCTCTAACGCGGCCCAGCTCAGGCCCTGGTCTCTAACGCGGCCCAGCTCAGGCCCTGGTCTCTACCGTGGCCCAGCTCAGGCCCTGGTCTCTACCGTGGCCCAGCTCAGGCCCTGGTCTCTAACACTCAGGCTTGCACTGCTCATTTGCTTCCAAAGGTGTGTCGGTGAATGGCTTGGCCATGGCCTTGGGGCTGTTTCGGTTCGTTTCAAATCCTGAGTGAGGCCGTGATTATTGTTATAGTCGGCTCTTTTTAAGCGTGGCTCACTTGAGCCCGAGCTGAGCCGTGACCTAAGAAACACGGCCCTCACGCCAGAGGGCAGCAGGTGAGACTAGGAAAGGAGTTAGTAGGGTCTCGTTGTGTAGAGAGGCAAGCAAGACTGGAATGCGGCTAGACTCTGCCCAAGGAAAGATGTGACATATATGTCAAAAAACACTAAAAGACCCCAACAATAAAAGGCTACGGGATTTGTGTGAATGGGCTAGGGCGTTTTAATGTCTAAGAAGGTTCGGGTTTTAAACTTGGTAGCACAGTAACTTGTTTACACCCACGGCGGTGCCCGTTGACTTCTGAAGCTTTTGCAATGAATGTCCGAGACTAGCTCTAGATCTTCTGTTGGATGTGAGAGAACTCTATGAAGTACTTTATCTTTTTTTAAAAAATCAAGTGCAGGCATAACTTTTTATTCTTCAAAATGTGGGTTCACCTCCTACCTCAAATACGACACGGAAATGTTATTGTAAACGGCCTTTAGCATTCAAATACTTGTCCAAACGATATGGTATAAAATAAACAGCAGCTGTGTTTTTTACAGACTAATTTAAAGCTGTACTGTTAACGGAGGCCTAGTTGAACTTTGGAGTAGCTAGTCTAGGGAGCCTCTGTCAAATGTTTTCTGTACGTTTTTAATACGTGACTTTCGAAATTTTCTAGGAAGAGTTACTTTTTTTTTCTGACTTTGCGATCGTTATAACGATATGGTGGGGACAGCAGCTGTTGAGGTCGTGGCAGACTGGCGGACCCAACTCTCAGAAAGGGGGTGGGGGTGGCCTTAATCACGCGGGCACTTTAGGTGCACTTTGTCATTCGGGGTTTATCCCACCCGACCTGGTTTTGCCACGATCCATCTCGTTGTTTTGAGGAAGGTGGCGGCAAGGGCGTTGCCGAAGTCTTCACGGACCATTAAAAGTCCTGGGTTTTGTCATTTGCCCGGTTAGCGACGACGATGATGATGATGATACACGACTGAAGACGATGCATTAATACGCTGCTCTATTCTGGCATGGAGATATTTCTAGATCTGACCACGATGATGTTCCAGACGTCTCTTTTGATCAGTGGGGAGGATGCCCTGGCCCCATTGCAGGGTCCTGAGGAGGTTATTATTTTGGAGATGACCGTAAGAAGAGGTAATGACACGAGAGAGATTTTTGTTTTATCGAGGTGATTTTTTAAATCCGACCCAAAAATGTGTAGAGATGAGAGGACGACTGAAGAGACGCTGACGACGATGATGATGATGAGATGTTTCGTGCGAGATAAGAGGGGGACGGGGAAGTCGTACTCGTTTTTTTTGGCTTTGACCGGAACGCTGTCACGGCCACAGATAAAAGGCCCCCCCACTCCCCAGTGGGTCAAGACGAGTGGACCACCTGGTAGCCAATGGTGGGGAAAACGCCTGGGGCGGATGGGGCCGTCCGATGCGGAGATGGAGAAGCGAAATCTCCTCCGCGTGCAGGATCGACAGGGACACGGTGTTTTGTGTCGCTCGACCGCGGGAGATGGCGGCGGCGACGATGGCTATGGGGGGGGGGCGGGGAGGGAGGCCTTCATCCAGCAGTGACTAGATAATGGCCGCTGATTTTTTTGATATTTTTTTGATATTTTTTTGTTTTATTTTGGAGTAAAAGTTGAGGATTGGGTCATCGCGTGCCCGTGAATTTGGCGCAGCGTGGTTTAGGAGATGGTCTTTACATCCCGGCGGCCTTGAGGCGTGTGTAGGTTTTATGCTTTTCTCTGTGCGTGAACTATGGGTGACGGTGTGTTTGTGGAAATCGTCAAAACTTCGTTTTTTTATGGATGCTTTAAAGCCTGTGTTATGCCCAAATCTTTCGGATTTATTTTGAAGGATTCTTTTTAAAGGCTATTTTAGCCCAGATGTGTAGACATTTTCCGAGGATGCTTTAAAACCCCTAATTAGACTCGAATAGGGTTTTTTTTATGATTTGATTTTTTCCATCTTGCATTAGGCCCGAATGTTTTGAAGTATTGTTCTAAAACTTATACGACAAAAAATGCCCCCCCCCCCCACGTAGATCGGGGTACCGCGGTAATTGGCGGGGGGGGGGGTGGGGGTTATTTTGCCTGCCAACTCTTCCACGCTGGACGGACGTCTCTGAAGAGAGGTTCGCGTTAGCCCACTCTACCCCACCGTCGCTCCACACCACCTGGCACTCACCTGTGTGTGTGTGTGTGCGTGTTCCTGCCCCCTTCATAACCACCACCACCACCCCCAAACCCCCATTTTCTCGTCTTTATTTGCGACATGCTGGCATACACGTTTTTATTTCTTGATAGATTTTCTTTTTTTAAAAGGTATTTCTTTTTTAAAACGATGGATTTTTATTCGGCAAAATGTTTCTAATTTTGGTGTTCTTTTTTATATGCTGTACTCTGTTTTTACGTTTTGTAATACGAACAACCAAATAAATACACTTTTTTGAAAGGTAACGACAAAAAATTCAACGCGCCGCTTGTCCAAGGGTGGAAATTTGTCATTTTAAAAATATTCGCCGCGTGTACTGGGAGTGGTGGTGCAGCGGTTAGCGCTCTGCTGCACCACAGACCTGGCGACGCGAGGTTCGATTCCCGCTCGCGGCCACCACGATTACCTGAACCCGGTCCTGGGTCTCCCCTGGGTCGACTCGGCCTCCCAAATGCGTTTGTAAACATCTCCACTGGGGGAAGACGAAAGGCGGACGGGCGTGGCGCTGGCCACCCACGGCCCCCGTGTGCCACAGTGCCGGCAGCCTTCACAGCTGCTGCTGCTACTCGCTAACACCACTTGCCCCAACATTCTGAGGCTCTACGGGGCGTGGGTGGGGGGGACCGTGTGTTGTTGAACTTCTTTCACACGGCTCGCAGCGAAACCGTGCTCATCGGAGGCGCGGGGGAAGGATAAAAAGTCACAACGAAGGTTAATATCGGTCGCGAAAGCTCTTGCTTGCGTGTTTAAACAAAAACATTTTTTTTTAAATCACCAATTAGTAGTGGCTCAGTTTGGATGGCAACAACTTCCATTCGCCACTAAGTGGTGGGGACGTCCCCACGGCAGACTGTGTTCACGTGAGATCACACACAACCATCACACACCACCCTACTGGCAGACTGTGCATGTGAGATCACACACAACCATCACACACCACCCTACTGGCAGACTGTGCACGTGAGATCACACACAACCATCACACACCACCCTACTGGCAGACTGTGCACGTGAGATCACACACAACCATCACACACCACCCTACTGGCAGACTGTGTGCACGTGAGATCACACACACAACCATCACCCACACTACTGGCAGACTGTGTGCACGTGAGATCACACACAACCATCACACACCATCCTACTGGCAGACTGTGTGCACGTGAGATCACACACAACCATCACCCACACTACTGGCAGACTGTGTGCACGTGAGATCACACACAACCATCACCCACCATCCTACTGACAGACTGTGTGCACGTGAGATCACACACACAACCATCACCCCCCACCCTACTGGCAAACTGTGTGCACGTGAGATCACACACACAACCATCCCCCCCACTCTACTGGCAGACTGTGTGCACGTGAGATCACACACAACCATCACCCCCCACCCTACTGGCAAACTGTGTGCACGTGAGATCACACACACAACCATCCCCCCACTCTACTGGCAGACTCTGTGCACGTGAGATCACACACACAACCATCACCCCCTCTACTGGCAGACTGTGTGCACGTGAGATCACACACAACCATCACCCCCCCCCCCCACCCTACTGACAGACTGTGTGCACGTGAGATCACAACCATCACCCCCCACTACTGGCAGACTGTGTGCACGTGAGATCACACACACAATTATCACCCTACTGGCAGACTGTGTGTACGTGAGATCACACAACCATCACCCCCCACCCTACTGGCAGACTGTGCACGTGAGATCACACACACAACCATCACCCCACCCTACTGGCAGACTGTGTGCACGTGAGATCACACACAACCATCACCCCCCACCCTACTGGCAGACTGTGTGCACGTGAGATCACACACAACCATCACCCCCACCCTACTGGCAGACTGTGTGCACGTGAGATCACACACAACCATCACCCCACTCTACTGGCAGACTGTGTGCACGTGAGATCACACACACAACCCTCACACACCCTACTGACAGACTGTGTGCACGTGAGATCACACACAACCATCACACACTCTACTGGCAGACTGTGTGCACGTGAGATCACACACACAACCATCACCCCCCCCCCCCTACTGGCAGACTGTGTGCACGTGAGATCACACACAACCCTCACCCACCCCCCTACTGGCAGACTGTGTGCACGTGAGATCACACACACACAACCATCACCCCCCCACCCTACTGGCAGACTGTGTGCACGTGAGATCACACACAACCATCACCCCACTCTACTGGCAGACTGTGTGCACGTGAGATCACACACACAACCATCACCCCACCCTACTGACAGACTGTGTGCACGTGAGATCACACACACAACCATCACCCCCCCTACTGGCAGACTGTGTGCACGTGAGATCACACACAACCATCACCCCCCACCCTACTGGCAGACTGCACGTGAGATCACACACAACCATCACCCCCCACTACTGGTAGACTGTGTGCACGTGAGATCACACACAACCATCACCCCCCCTACTGGCAGACTGTGTGCACGTGAGATCACACACACAACCCTCACCCCCACCCTACTGGCAGACTGTGTGCACGTGAGATCACACACAACCATCACACACTCTACTGGCAGACTGTGTGCACGTGAGATCACACACAACCATCACCCCACTCTACTGGCAGACTGTGTGCACGTGAGATCACACACACAACCCTCACACACCCTACTGACAGACTGTGTGCACGTGAGATCACACACAACCATCACACACTCTACTGGCAGACTGTGTGCACGTGAGATCACACACACAACCATCACCCCCCCCCCCCTACTGGCAGACTGTGTGCACGTGAGATCACACACAACCCTCACCCACCCCCCTACTGGCAGACTGTGTGCACGTGAGATCACACACACACAACCATCACCCCCCACCCTACTGGCAGACTGTGTGCACGTGAGATCACACACAACCATCACCCCACTCTACTGGCAGACTGTGTGCACGTGAGATCACACACACAACCATCACCCCACCCTACTGACAGACTGTGTGCACGTGAGATCACACACACAACCATCACCCCCCCTACTGGCAGACTGTGTGCACGTGAGATCACACACAACTATCACCCCCCACCCTACTGGCAGACTGCACGTGAGATCACACACAACCATCACCCCCCACTACTGGTAGACTGTGTGCACGTGAGATCACACACAACCATCACCCCCCCCTACTGGCAGACTGTGTGCACGTGAGATCACACACACAACCCTCACCCCCACCCTACTGGCAGACTGTGTGCACGTGAGATCACACACAACCATCACCCCCCACTACTGGTAGACTGATGCCACTGGGGATGCCCCTCTGCTAGACCGCAGTAATGAAACTATAAACTAATTTTTATCGTGCCAACTAAAGCCCCACTCGGCGACAGAAGCGACCTGGTTAGCACGGATGGAACCTTGACGAAGTGGCTTACGTGGTAAATGTATCCCTGCCAAATACTTTAAACGTGTGGCGCTAAATGTGGAGGGGGAAAATTGGTGGACCCAGAGGGAAAAATCCACGCGACCACGGGCAGAGAGACGCAGACTCCAAATACACAGCAGACTCCAAATACACAGCAGACTCCAAATACACAGCAGACTCCAAATACACAGCAGCAGCAGCAGGCATCGTCAGGGTCGGGATCGAACCCACGACCTCTTGCACACCAGGCGAGGTAGTCAACATCTCCTAGCCACCGTGATGATGATGAGAGAGAGAGACGCAGACTCCAAATATGCAGCAGCAGGCGTCAGGGTCGGGATCTAACCCACGATCTCCTGCCTACGAGGCGAGGTAGTTAACATTTCATAGCCACCGCGATGATGATGAGAGAGATACACGCAGACTCCAAATATACAGCAGCAGCAGGCATCGTCAGGGTCGGGATCGAACCCACAACCTCCTGCATACCAGGCGAGCTGATGAATAATAATAATTAAAATGTATAATTGTGCATTCCACCCTAGGATTCCCAATGCGTAGCGCATGAAAATCAGGAACCGGACAACCAGGTGGTGGTGGTGGTGGGGGGGTAACCGACCCAAGGAAGGAGGGACGGCCGTCTTGACGAGATCGGGCTCCACGGAAGACTTCAACGCAGGGTGCTTCAAAACAACAAAAAAAGTTGTGAACACTTCTGAGAATTTGCAGCAACGACGTCGCGAGGAATGTTCCGCCTCTTAGGCTTGTGGAGGCCACCGGGAGAAGCTTCCAGGCCACGCGTTCACAGCGGCGGTGAACGCGCGGGAGACTCTTCGACTTTCTGAAGCTACTTGTCGTCACGCCACACCGTCTTATGGTCCGTCTCTTGTTTCCACTGAAACCGACAGTCCCGTTTAAGCGCTCACTTACTTCTGAAGCAACCTGCACACCTACCGACTCCCCTTGCCGCCTGATTTCAAGCGGCAAGGGGCGAGCCCTCAGCCCCGGCGCCGGAACGAACGCGGCACAGGGGGGGACCCCACCGGGGGGGACCCCACGGGGACCCCACCGGGGACCCCAGCGAGACCCCAGCGAGACCCCACCGAAGACCCCACCGGGGACCCCACTGGGGACCCCACCGGGGACCCCAGCGAGACCCCAGCGAGACCCCACCGGGGACCCCAGCGAGACCCCAGCGAGACCCCACCGGGGACCCCAGCGAGACCCCAGCGAGACCCCACCGGGGACCCCACTGGGGACCCCAGCGAGACCCCAGCGAGACCCCACCGGGGACCCCAGCGAGACCCCAGCGAGACCCCACCGGGGACCCCAGCGAGACCCCAGCGAGACCCCACCGGGGACCCCACTGGGGACCCCAGCGAGACCCCACCGAAGACCCCACGGGGACCCCACGGGGACCCCACCGGGGACCCCAGCGAGACCCCACGGGGACCCCACCGGGGACCCCACCGAGACCCCACCGGGGACCCCACTGGGGACCCCAGCGAGACCCCACCGAAGACCCCACGGGGACCCCACCGAGACCCCACTGGGGACCCCAGCGAGACCCCAGCGAGACCCCACCGAGACCCCAGCGGGGACCCCACCGGGGACCCCAGCGAGACCCCACCGAAGACCCCACCGGGGACCCCACTGGGGACCCCACTGGGGACCCCACCGGGGACCCCAGCGAGACCCCAGCGAGACCCCACCGGGGACCCCAGCGAGACCCCAGCGAGACCCCACCGGGGACCCCACTGGGGACCCCAGCGAGACCCCAGCGAGACCCACCGGGGACCCCAGCGAGACCCCAGCGAGACCCCACCGGGGACCCCACTGGGGACCCCAGCGGGGACCCCACTGGGGACCCCAGCGAGACCCCAGCGAGACCCCACCGGGGACCCCACTGGGGACCCCAGCGAGACCCCAGCGAGACCCCACCGGGGACCCCAGCGAGACCCCAGCGAGACCCCACCGGGGACCCCACTGGGGACCCCAGCGGGGACCCCACTGGGGACCCCAGCGAGACCCCACCGAGAACCCCACCGGGGACCCCACCGAAGACCCCAGCGAGACCCCCCACCGAAGACCCCCTTCAACCCCCCCCCGCGAACCACTCCGCCAGGTCCCCCCTCGGCGCCGCGCCCTCCGCCGCTCCCCCGCCCCGCCGGAGCCTCCGGCAGACGGCGCACAGCCGCTCGTCCCAGCCGCGAGCGCTCCGCGCCCGGTAGCGCCGCCGCCAGGCGTGCATGCGCCCGTACGCCGCCCCGTCGGCCGCCAGCGCCCGCAGGCGCAGCGCCAGCTCGAGGGGCGACGCGAAGTCGTCCACGTGCAGGAAGGCGCCGGGCGGCAGCGCCCGCTCGTAGTCGGCCCGAGGGGGGCCCAGCGCGACGGGGACGGCGGCCGAGCCGAGGGCGTTGGCCCACAGCTTCTCGCTGACGTAGTGGCGCGAGCGGGAGTTCTCGAAGGCCAGGTAGAAGAGGTAGCGCGAGAGGACCGCCCGCGGATCGCCCGGGGGCACGGCCGTGCGTGCCGGGGCCGTGCGTGCCGGGGCCGTGCGTGCCGGGGCCGTGCGTGCCGGGGCCGTGCGTGCCGGGGCCGTGCGTGCCGGGGCCGTGCGTGCCGGGGCCGGCGGCAGGGCCGTGCGTGCCGTGCCGCGGCCGTACACGGCCACGCGAAGGTGCCGTGCCAGCTCGCGATGGTAGCCGTCGCGGCCGGAGGCGGCGCCCCGGTGGGACACGACCCAGGCCACCAGCTCGCTCTTACTGGGGGGAGCGGGAGAAGAAGGTGGGGTCGCTGGTGGCGGTGGAGTTGGTGGTGGCAGTGGTGGTGGTGGTGGAGGAGGTGGTAGTGGTGGAGTTGGTGGTGGGGTCGGTGGTGGCGGTGGAGTTGGTGGTGGCAGTGGTGGTGGTGGTGGTGGTAGTGGTGGTGGTAGTGGTGGTGGGGTTGGTGGTGGTAGTGGTGGAGGTTGAGGTAGTGGAGGTGGTGGTGGTGGAGGTGGTGGAGTTGGTGGTGGTGGAGGTGGTGGTGGGGTTGATGTTGGTGGTGGAGGTGGTGGACTTGGTGGTGGTGGAGGTGGTGGAGGTGGTGGTGGTGGAGGTGGTGGAGTTGGTGGTGGGATTGATGTTGGTGGTGGTGGAGTTGGTGGTGGGGTTGATGTTGGTGGTGGAGGTGGTAGAGATGGTGGTGGGGTTGATGTTGGTGATGGCAGTGGTGGAGGTGGTGGTGGGGTTGATGTTGGTGGCGGAGGTGGTGGAGTTGGTGGTGGTGGAGGTGGAGTTGGTGGTGGAGTTGATGTTGGTGGTGGAGGTGGTGGAGTTGGTGGTGGGGTTGATGTTGGTGGTGGAGGTGGTAGAGATGGTGGTGGGGTTGATGTTGGTGATGGCAGTGGTGGTGGTGGGGTTGATGTTGGTGGTGGGGGTGGTGGAGTTGGTGGTGGTGGAGGTGGAGTTGGTGGTGGGGTTGATGTTGGTGGTGGAGGTGGTAGAGATGGTGGTGGGGTTGATGTTGGTGGTGGTAGTGGTGGAGGTGGTGGTGGGGTTGATGTTGGTGGTGGATGTGGTGGAGTTGGTGGTGGGGTTGATGGTGGTGGAGGTGGTGGAGTTAGTGGTGGTGGAGGTGGTGGAGTTGGTGGTGGGGTTGATGTTGGTGGTGGAGGTGGTAGAGATGGTGGTGGGGTTGATGTTGGTGATGGCAGTGGTGGTGGTGGGGTTGATGTTGGTGGTGGAGGTGGTGGAGTTGGTGGTGGTGGAGGTGGAGTTGGTGGTGGAGTTGATGTTGGTGGTGGAGGTGGTGGAGTTGGTGGTGGGGTTGATGTTGGTGGTGGAGGTGGTAGAGATGGTGGTGGGGTTGATGTTGGTGGTGGTAGTGGTGGAGGTGGTGGTGGGGTTGATGTTGGTGGTGGAGGTGGTGGAGTTGGTGGTGGTGGAGGTGGAGTTGGTGGTGGAGTTGATGTTGGTGGTGGAGGTGGTGGAGTTGGTGGTGGGGTTGATGTTGGTGGTGGAGGTGGTAGAGATGGTGGTGGGGTTGATGTTGGTGGTGGTAGTGGTGGAGGTGGTGGTGGGGTTGATGTTGGTGGTGGATGTGGTGGAGTTGGTGGTGGGGTTGATGGTGGTGGAGGTGGTGGAGTTAGTGGTGGTGGAGGTGGTGGAGTTGGTGGTGGGGTTGATGTTGATGTTGGTGGTGGGGTCGATGTTGATGTTGGTGGTGGGGTTGATGTTGGTGGTGGTGGTAGTGGTGTTGATGTTGACGGTGGTGGGGTTGATGTTGGTGGTGGTGGTGTTGATGTTGTTGGTGGTATTGATGTTGATGGTGGTAGTGGTAGTGGTGTTGGTGGTGATGGTGTTGAGGTTGGTGGTGGTGATGTTGATGGTGGTGGTGTTGATGTTGTTGGTGATGGTGTTGATGTTGATGGTGTTGATGTTGATGGTGTTGATGTTGATGGTGTTGATGGTGTTGATGTTGATGGTGTTGATGTTGGGTGCGGTCCACCCACCCGGAGCAGGCGTAGGCGCTGCAGTTGGCGGCTCCTGCCGACTCGAGGGCGGAGCCACACGGAGGCTCCTCCCCCTCCTGCCCCTCCCCCCGGGGCTCGAGCCACCCGTAGGGGGTTGGGACATCCGAATCCGGCCTGCAAAGTGTGTGGACTAATCTCCATCTGTTCCATCTCACTCCCTTCTACACCGTGTGTGGACTAATCTCCATCTGTTCCTTCTCACTCACTTCTACACCGTGTGTGGACTAATCTACATCTGTTCCATCTCAGTCCCTTCTACCACGTGTGTGGACTAATCTCCATCTGTTCCATCTCACTCCCTTCTACACCGTGTGTGGACTAATCTCCATCTGTTCCATCTCACTCCCTTCTACCACGTGTGTGGACTAATCTCCATCTGTTCCATCTCACTCCCTTCTACACCGTGTGTGGACTAATCTCCATCTGTTCCATCTCACTCCCTTCTACCCGTGTGTGTGGACTAATCTCCATCTGTTCCATCTCACTCCCTTCTACCACGTGGGTGGACTAATCTCCATCTGTTCCATCTCACTCTCTTCTACACCGTGGGTGGACTAATCTCCATCTGTTCCATCTCACTCCCTTCTACCACGTGTGTGGACTAATCTCCATCTGTTCCTTCTCACTCACTTCTACACCGTGTGTGGACTAATCTACATCTGTTCCATCTCACTCCCTTCTACACCGTGTGTGGACTAATCTCCATCTGTTCCTTCTCACTCACTTCTACACCGTGTGTGGACTAATCTCCATCTGTTCCATCTCACTACCTTCTACCACGTGGGTGGACTAATGTCCATCTGTTCCATCTCACTCCCTTCTACCACGTGTGTGCACTAATCTCCATCTGTTCCATCTCACTCACTTCTACCACGTGGGTGGACTAATCTCCATCTGTTCCATCTCACTCCCTTCTACCACGTGTGTGGACTAATCTCCATCTGTTCCATCTCACTCCCTTCTACCCGTGTGTGGACTAATCTCCATCTGTTCCATCTCACTCTCTTCTACACCGTGTGTGGACTAATCTCCATCTGTTCCATCTCACTCCCTTCTACACCGTGTGTGGACTAATCTCCATCTGTTCCATCTCACTCCCTTCTACCCGTGTGTGTGGACTAATCTCCATCTGTTCCATCTCACTCCCTTCTACCCGTGTGTGTGGACTAATCTCCATCTGTTCCATCTCACTCCCTTCTACTACGTGTGTGGACTAATCTCCATCTGTTCCATCTCACTCCCTTCTACCACGTGTGTGGACTAATCTCCATCTGTTCCATCTCACTCCCTTCTACCACGTGTGTGGACTAATCTCCATCTGTTCCTTCTCACTCACTTCTACACCGTGTGTGGACTAATCTCCATCTGTTCCATCTCACTCCCTTCTACACCGTGTGTGGACTAATCTCCATCTGTTCCATCTCACTCCCTTCTACCACGTGTGTGGACTAATCTCCATCTGTTCCATCTCACTCCCTTCTACACCGTGTGTGGACTAATCTCCATCTGTTCCTTCTCACTCCCTTCTACACCGTGTGTGGACTAATCTCCATCTGTTCCATCTCACTCCCTTGTACCACGTGTGTGGACTAATCTCCATCTGTTCCTTCTCACTCACTTCTACACCGTGTGTGGACTAATCTCCATCTGTTCCATCTCACTCCCTTCTACCACGTGTGTGCACTAATCTCCATCTGTTCCATCTCACTCACTTCTACCACGTGGGTGGACTAATCTCCATCTGTTCCATCTCACTCACTTCTACACCGTGTGTGGACTAATCTCCATCTGTTCCATCTCACTCCCTTCTACCACGTGTGTGGACTAATCTCCATCTGTTCCATCTCACTCCCTTCTACCTGTGTGTGGACTAATCTCCATCTGTTCCTTGTCACTCCCTTCTACCACGTGTGTGCACTAATCTCCATCTGTTCCATCTCACTCACTTCTACCACGTGGGTGGACTAATCTCCATCTGTTCCATCTCACTCACTTCTACCACGTGGGTGGACTAATCTCCATCTGTTCCATCTCACTCACTTCTACACCGTGCTTGGACTAATCTCCATCTGTTCCATCTCACTCACTTCTACCACGTGGGTGGACTAATCTCCATCTGTTCCATCTCACTCACTTCTACCACGTGGGTGGACTAATCTCCATCTGTTCCATCTCACTCACTTCTACACCGTGCATGGACTAATCTCCATCTGTTCCATCTCACTCTCTTCTACACCGTGTGTGGACTAATCTCCATCTGTTCCATCTCACTCCCTTCTACACCGTGTGTGGACTAATCTCCATCTGTTCCATCTCACTCCCTTCTACCGTGTGTGTGGACTAATCTCCATCTGTTCCATCTCACTCCCTTCTACCCGTGTGTGTGGACTAATCTCCATCTGTTCCATCTCACTCCCTTCTACTACGTGTGTGGACTAATCTCCATCTGTTCCATCTCACTCCCTTCTACCACGTGTGTGGACTAATCTCCATCTGTTCCATCTCACTCTCTTCTACACCGTGTGTGGACTAATCTCCATCTGTTCCATCTCACTCCCTTCTACACCGTGTGTGGACTAATCTCCATCTGTTCCATCCCACTCCCTTCTACCCGTGTGTGTGGACTAATCTCCATCGGTTCCATCTCACTCCCTTCTACCCGTGTGTGTGGACTAATCTCCATCTGTTCCATCTCGCTCCCTTCTACTACGTGTGTGGACTAATCTCCATCTGTTCCATCTCACTCCCTTCTACCACGTGTGTGGACTAATCTCCATCTGTTCCATCTCACTCCCTTCTACCACGTGTGTGGACTAATCTCCATCTGTTCCTTCTCACTCACTTCTACACCGTGTGTGGACTAATCTCCATCTGTTCCATCTCACTCCCTTCTACACCGTGTGTGGACTAATCTCCATCTGTTCCATCTCACTCCCTTCTACCACGTGTGTGGACTAATCTCCATCTGTTCCATCTCACTCCCTTCTACACCGTGTGTGGACTAATCTCCATCTGTTCCTTCTCACTCCCTTCTACACCGTGTGTGGACTAATCTCCATCTGTTCCATCTCACTCCCTTGTACCACGTGTGTGGACTAATCTCCATCTGTTCCTTCTCACTCACTTCTACACCGTGTGTGGACTAATCTCCATCTGTTCCATCTCACTCCCTTCTACCACGTGGGTGGACTAATCTCCATCTGTTCCATCTCACTCCCTTCTACCACGTGTGTGCACTAATCTCCATCT